GATTAATCGATGGAATATTCGATAGCTGAACTAAACGTTTTTAATTCAAAAATGACAAACTCTTCCACACAGCCGCTTCACTGCATTCAATACATCAGCTGTGTCACAAACCTGTGATGCACTTTGGTTAGTTAATGCAACATTAGGCGTGTTTCCATCAACGTATTTTGATGTATCACGTTAAAAAAGGTTGATGCAAACAGCAAAATAAAAAATACAAACATGTTTACGCTTGCTCGAGGTGGTTTTTGCCTTTCTTAGAAAAAGAGTTAATGCGCTGAGTAGGAGATGGAAACTAGTTTTCAAATAAATGTTCGCTACGTCAGAACTTAACTCACACGAGTGAACAGCTGTTTCCACACCGACAGTCTCCTCATCGCTCCCAGAAACAGAAATCTGATATTTCCATCATGTTTTCATGTTGTTTTTACAGTTTGACACTTTGCAATCTTTACCTTGATCCCACGCACGGACACTTCCCCCACCAACACACTCATACCGTTATAAAGACGTCTTAAAAATACGTCTGGCAGAAAAAAAGACAAAGAACTGAATTATTTGTCAATAAAATATTCTAATGAGAAATACTCAGCATGATTTCACAAACTCCAATATGATGTTTTCAAATTTAATTTAGTCTGACCAACAGAATACAGATTAAACAATTACTAGACTAAATTAATCAATTACTACTAAACTGTTTCAGCACTACTCTGCACTAAACTGCAAATCAGTTGGTAGCAAAAGTTAAACACAGTCCACCAAATGTGCTTACAATACACACAGACACCTCCTCCACCTGCATTTAAATCCTCGGAGGCAACCAGATAATAATCTGTCAGAGGTCGACAACATTTAATATACGGGCACAAACTTACTTGAGACGCAACAATGGTCAAGGACACATTAACACATCAACAACACGCTGCCTCACAATGGGAACTCTGGAGACAGATGACCAGAGTGATGAAGGGTAGTGAATCTATACATTTACAGCCGTTTACCCCGTTGAAAAAAGAACAAACTACAGTCGGGCGATATGTTAACATTTTCCAACCGGCCACAGTCAGTCCAACAATCAGCGGTCGCCCCCCGACGTTAATACGTGCAACAAGCTCACCAAATGTCAAGAAAGTAAAAAGAAAAAAGCACCTATTTCCCTCATTAAACAGAAAATACAACCATACACCTTTAAACACACTTCATTCAAACTCGTCAGGAACAAAATAAAACTGACCAAACTGTCTTTATACTGTTCCAACAATCACCACCTCTGGTGTCTCACCACCTAACAGACCGTTAGATAGTTAGACCTGAAAATATTATACCACCGACCTCCCTCGCTCCTCTACCCGCTTCAAGCCTCTCCTCCTCTTCCCTGGAGTCTTGTTCGGAGTCTCTGTGAATCACCTTGTAACTGTTTTCCCGTCGTCAAACTACTTGAAATAAACTATTAATTCACCACAGTTAGATGTGAAAATACTCGTCACATTTTTCCTGTCACTGAGCGGCAAACCATTAAATTATCAAAATAAAATGACAAAAATCACCCCCAAAAAAAACAATCGCCAATCGCCGATATATTCCTCCAGTCGGCCGAACGTCGAAACAACCGATCAGAGTTTTGTAGGTGGGATTAAGAAGGGTGAATGTGCCACAAAAAAATACTCAAAATGATATGACAAACATTTCCAGCTCCTAGCAACCGCTACCACATCCTCTGTGACGACTGAAAATTACTCACATTGGTTTGGGCATAAAACCACAAGAACACCATCAGACTAAATCACGAGGTCAAGACAAATTAGTCTGATTATCAGGCTAGACCTTTTTATCTTTCCTCTGACTTGTGGATGATTTCACCGGTTCTCATATCAATATACTGCGACATATACTGGGATTTATTTGAATCTATTTTTAAGGAAAACTGTCCACAATATGCGTAAAATCTGTAACATCCATCATCATATCTCTGTTTACATTCACAACAATAGCGTCTTTGAGAATCGATACAAAATCACAAAACAAAACACCCAGTCCAATATTTTTAGATATTTTCTTACAGCCCTACCTGTCAGGGACGCACCAATACCATGAGCACAGTAGCACATCTTTTTTCACGAGTGATGGTAAGATGGAACCAAGCACAACGTTTTAATTTGCTCTCTGGAAACGATAATATAACTGAAATCTGATATTTCTGCTCATCGTTCTGTTCAAATCTTCAGTTTCTTGCTGGTATTATTGTGTTAAATTTAAAATCCTGGACTGTTTCAGGCTGATCATCCCAGAATTTAATACACAGGACCAAGAAATCATCATCGTCATCATCGTCGTCATCGTCCTGATGTCTGAACTCAGCAGTGTGTGTGTGTGTGTGATATTGCTGAGTAGTTGCATTAGTGAAGCGTAGCACAACCAGGCGAAATGATGGTAAATAAGGGCTGGAGGTAGCTTCTGCTGACGTACGGCGCACTATCCTGAGATACTCACAAAACACCAAGAAAAGAGGAAGAGGAGAAAATGGAGACCTGGGTTTGAGTGTCATACAATCAATCAGGCAATATAACGAGATACTAGAGCCGGTTACGGGTCTACTTCTGCTAGAGGAAGAGGAAAACACGGGGAGGCGGTCAAGGAAAGGAGGACGTAATGAAGGAAGGAAGACAATCGTAAGGGGAGGAGGACATGAGGACATAAAAGGAAAGAAAACAGACAGTGAAGGAGGAAGTAATTAAAGTGCGGAGCGGAGGAAAGGAGAGATCCGGCTCTCTCCTCTGTATCACGCAGCCCTGTGGGAGAAAAACCCCAAACACATCTGTCAGTCTCAAACATCACAAACTATGACTGGGGAAAAACACAAAAACACATACACAGCTGCCGTCCATGTTCCCCTGACAGAGCTCAACAGCTGCTGCACACAC